ACTTCATGCTTGACGTCTCCTGCTCTCGCTCCTTCCTTCTTCTTTTTTTTTGTGTGCAGCGCAGACCATATCACCTTGTCTCTTTTGTCTAGTTCTCTCGTGTTCTCTCCCTCTCTCTTCTCTCTCTCTCTCTCTCTCTCTCTCTCTCTCTCTCTCTCTCTCTCTCTCTCTCTCCGTCTCTCTGTCCCTCTCTCCACTCTCCCTCTCTCTCTCTCTCTGCCTCTCGAGGGCGTATTTGGCTGAAGGCATGCATCAGTGTTTCGGCGTGTCTTGGATTTCTCTCTACGTTTTCCTCGTTGAACTGGGGAGTTCAGCGTCTGGAGAGGCCTCCTATGTACCTTATTCGAGGCAGGGGGGAAGGGGCTTTGTGGCTTAGGTATCGATGGCATAAAACTGCAAGACAGTTGCAGCGCTCCCGAAGTGCTTCTTTCGGATTCTCGAGCATTAACTCGTCGAGATACGGACGGCCAGACGGCATACTCAGCAGAAGAAATCATAACTGGACAGGTCAGTCGTGCATTGCATCATCCCGCAGGTTCCATGTAAAAACAGGCTGCATGCATCGCCGAATTCTCGCTTCTTCCCAGTCTTGTGTGTGCTGCGTCGTACGAGTTGCTGCTCGAGAGTAGCATGCACGGTGTAAGCTAGAGCCTGCAGCTAGAGCTTCGACTCCTCTTTGTCTCGCGAGCTAGCCAGCAGCGTCTTCTGCTCTCAGACTTTTCTTTTTTGCTTCGCCCCCTATTTGGCTGCACCGCAGGTAGTACTCCCTGGAACGCAAAACAGGACGGGATATTGGAGTTTGGCGCATACAGCGCGATTTTTTCCCAACCCTTTCCTCGTCAAAGTGCGTCTTAAAGTCTTCCCTTAGAACACACTAAACGACTTTCACGCCTAAACGGCTGCTGCACACGGCACTGTCCTTACTGTTGCTTCTAGCGCCGCTTCCAACACTGCTGCCACAAGAACGCAATGAGAACTGAAACACACATTGGCGTATATATATATATATATTTGTACATAATTTATATGCATGCATATCATGTTTGTCTGTATCTATATATGTGTGTATATTATATGTATATGTCCATATACATAAATAGTATACATACATATATATATATACATCTATGTGTCCATATATATATATATATATATACACATATATATGTGGATATAGATATATATATCCATACGCGTATGTGTTATACACATATACATACATATGTTTGTACGTGGATGTAAAAATGCGTCTGTGTGCATGCGTGTGAGGTTACTGCTCAGTTATGCCGGAGTGTGTGGGCTGAATCTCCCGACTTTTTGGTGCTTGCTGAGGCAACTCCCGTTGGCGTTGGTGGTTCAAGGCTTGCGGCTTGTGGGACGTGTGGAGCTGTTCCCTCGGATCGTGAAGCGCGCTATTGTGTGTCGTGCGCATCCCCTATTTGCAGGTCGGCAATTTTAAGAATGCTTCCTTTTGCGGCTCTGCAGGCGTCGCGCCTTGCAGCCATCCTGGGGACAGATTTGGAGCAAACGAAAGATGGGGGTTTGATGCATTCTCGAGCTCGGCAAATGCGTCTTTTGTTGCAGGCCGAATGCTCGACAGCGCGGAGAAGTGGCAGCCGGCTTGTTGGCAAGAAGCGGCTTGCTCCCTGTAGTCCATCACCTCGCGTCTCTTGTTCCTTCGCTTCTCAGTAGGTGCAGAGTTGAGCGTCTGACGCTTGGGGAAGGGGGCTGTCAACGCTGCTGCGGCAGTAGGCGGTCTGAAGGGGGCGATATGCCTGCTTGCGTGTTTGCGGTTTGGAGCTGCATCGAGAGGCTTAGGGGGCGTTGCGTGGCGCCAGAACGTCTCTTCCTTGTCTCCTGTGGAGAGCGAGGCACGACAGTTCTGGCAGGGGGAGAAGGAGGGAATACAGGAGGGAGTAAAGAGGCACAGCAGCGGGCTGTTAGGCTGAAAGAAGTCTCGCATCCCCGCAAAAAATAGTTTTCGCTGTTTGTACTCCGCTGTGGAAAGCTGAGAGAGTGTGTTGAGGCTCTCTCTCTCTCTTTAAGGCCCAGCTTTTCGACTGTGTCTCTGCGTGCCGACGCGCAGGCGGTACAGTCTCTCCGGCTTCCCTCTTCAAGTCTCTGTCCAAGCAGCACGCAGCGATGCCTCAAGGCGGAACCCTTCTGCAGGTAATGTTTTATACAGCGTCGTGGGGACAGACTTCATGGGTCAAAGGTTTGTTGACGTTAGTTTTCGGCTTCTTTCTGCGGGAGAAAGACAGAGAGAAAGAGAGACAGAAAGAGAGAAAAAAAGAGACAGAAAGAGAAAAAAAGACAGACAGAGAGAAAAAAAAGAAAGAGAGAGACAGGAAGAGAAAGAGAGTCGGAAAAGGGGTTTGGGGAGCGTGAATAGCGCTTCTGTTGCGGATTTTTTTTCTTACAAAAAACGCCTCAAGGCACATCACTGTTTCACGTGAGTAAAAAGAGGGATGCGCGTTTCGGCTTTTCTGGCATTCGCTTGCTGCAGCTGTCTTGTGGACCATCATCGCCTCTGCCGCTGCTCTCCTACAAGAAAGCTGCGTGGTCGTTTCAAGACTTTCTCTGCTTTCTCCCCGACTCATTCGTCTCCGGTACGGGGTATCCTGTTCTCCCTCATCCCGACGCTGCGGAGAAGCTCGACACAAGCACAGGCGGCAGCAACTTGGATTTTTCTCGTTTGTCTCACTCCCTCCTCGCGCAAGGCATGGCAGAGTCTCCGAGGGGCTGTTGCACAGCGCAGACGCAGTCGTGTCAGGCAGAATGTTTGCGGCTGCAGTCGCTGGAGAGCTGGAGGGCATGGTCTTCAGAATGGGAGTTCCCAATTTCTTCGATACTCAAGAGCGCCGTAAGATGCCACACAAGCATCTTGCACTACAGTTGAGAAACAACAGACACGCGTATACAAACCTGTAGTCGTTGATGGCGTAATCCATCGCAAAAATCTCACGTCTACAGGTCTATATATTGTAGGGGTATCACGCACAGCTTCTGCAGTGTGTCTGTGTCTGTGTGTGTTTGTCTGTCTCTCTGTGTGTTTGTGGCAATAGCAATAAGTCACTTCTGCGGGTTCTCTGCGTGTATGCATCTGTGTGTGTATGTGTATGTATGTGTCTGTATCAGTTTGTATCTCAGTGTGTATGTAGCTGTGTATGTATGTGTATGTATCAGGTTGTATCTCAGTGTGTATGTGGCTGTGTATCTCAGTGTGTATGTAGCTGTGTATGTATGTGTATGTATGTGTTTGTATGTGTCTGTATCAGTGTGTATCTCAGTGTGTATGTAGCTGTGTATGTATGTGTATGTATGTGTTTGTATGTGTCTGTATCAGGTTGTATCTCAGTGTGTATGTGGCTGTGTATCTCAGTGTGTATGTATGTGTTTGTATGTATCTGTATCAGGTTGTATCTCAGTGTGTATGTAGCTGTGTATCTCAGTGTGTATGTATGTGTTTGTATGTGTCTGTATCAGGTTGTATCTAAGTGTGTATGTGGCTGTGTATCTCAGTGTGTATGTATGTGTTTGTATGTGTCTGTATCAGGTTGTATCTCAGTGTGTATGTGGCTGTGTATCTCAGTGTGTATGTTGCGGTGTACAAGTGTATCTGTCTGTATCTGTCTGTCTGTGTTTGCAGAGGATGGCAGTGCACGGGTACGTACCCCGTTCCCCCTTTTTTTGACGCAATTAAATTTAAAGTCGCCTGCTTCTTTTTGCAGAGGGTGTCGTGGTCCCCCTCAGCTGAGGGGTGTCGCGTTGGTGGCTGCTTGGTGAGGGGATGGAGAAAAGGGGGGAGGAAAAAGAAGGCTTTGGACGTTCTGGGCTAGTAGGCTAAAAGCTTGAGCTTTGTTTGCATGCGCTCTCCGTCGCAGACTCCTCAAGGCAGCACCGCCATTTTTCCCTGCAGCAGTGCGTCTGCTCGAACCGTAAACTTTTTGGACGCTGCTGAAATGCTGCTTTTAGGGCAGGTTCGCATGAGGTGTCTTGCTCTCGCATGCGCGTTTGTTGGGGAATCAGAAGAGTTCTACAAAAGCAGTTCTTTTGGGGAAGAGTGGGGGGTCTGCGTTTTCAGAGCTGAAGCTGCTTGAGCGCTTTCTGGGCATGCATGGATTTGAGTCGATTACTCAGCTGCCTGACAGAGAGGCTGAGTTCATGCAACTGCTGGATTCTTCGACGGGTAAGTGATCATGCGTCTGCCTTGTTCAGCTTTCAATTACACTGGGTTGCAGCGCTGCACAGAGAGAGAGAGAGAGAGAGAGAGAGAGAGAGAGAGAGAGAGAGAGAGAGAGAGAGGAGAGCGGGAGCGCACATGAGAGAACGACAGACACAAGAGGATCGCGTATGGCGTCTGCTGCGTGAAAAAAAAACGATAGAAGTGTTAAAAGTATAGATTTTGTTTATTATTTTTTTTTTTTATTTGG